AAAAAAAAAAAAAAAAAAAGAAAAAGAAAAAAAGAAAAGGAGTACAAAGTTCCGATCAATGCAAAAAAACAGTTTCGTACAAAGTTGGAATTCAAAATTGGATCGCGAAAAGAAGTAAAAAGTGCCATTGTCAATTTAGTCCAACGCTATCTACAGGTGGTGCCTCTTGCGCAGCTTTTTCCCCTCTAGCACAAGTCGTCGTTATAACGGGAAGCAGCCACGGAAGAGGCGCAACGAATCTATCCATGATACGACTTCTCTCAATCATAAAACAATCACACGATCAATGATCACGTAACAAGGCCATTTTATTTTTGAAGCAAACCTTCGAAAACGCCAAATCTAATCAACTCTGCGCCATCAACGTATATCCCCGCTTCGAAGGACGTTTTTCCTCACAGTTGGTGATCAACTCGTGTAATGAAAGATTCGTGGAAGAGGAGGAAGAGGGGGGGAGGAGGAGGATGAACTCACCGCTGGAAAAAAAGGATGTGCTACGGCCTATGCACTCGGTCGCGGGCGGTGAATTTGGCGGTGCCGACGACGAAGAGGACGCAGCTGTTGTCGAACGGTACCTGGTGCCTTTCCAGATCACCAGTTTGCCCAGCACGGTGAGCAACGATTCCCTCAAGGTGTTGTGCCTGCTCGCGCCGCCTAAACTGCTGGACGAGTCTCTCTTCGAGCACTCGCCGACCGCCTCGACCTCGTCGGAAGACGACGGCAGATTCACCACCGAGTGCGCTTGGCTGTCAGCGGATTCCTGTGGCAGCTGTTGCAGCTGCAGCTGCTGTTTCTTCCTCGTTTTCCGACGTTTCTTCTTCTTTCGTCGGGTACCGGAGTTCTCGTCGTCGTTGCACACCGACGCGGCAGTCGTCGACCCCTTCCGGCTATCTTCCGCGTCCGATTTTGTCGCCGTACACGAGGCTTTGTCCGCCTCGTCGCAGTCCTTCACCTTGGTTATCACACGACAACAGCATTGCGTTACAGACATTCGCGACAGCGACGAGAAACGATTGGTCGAGGACACGCCGTTTAACACGACCGGATACACCTTTCGCGTGGTTCCCTGTACATGCTCGTTTCACCTTCTTCCGTTTCTTTAAAGATACCTCTTTTTTTTTTCCCCTCTCGTAAGAAACTTAGGATATCCGTAAAATTAAGTTGTCCTATCCGATCAGTAAAGGGAACAATTGAGCCGTTAAGCCATCGAGCAAGAGCGCAGATCGTATAATTATAGATCATGAATATTCATCTTAAACTTGTTTATATCTTGGAGCGATTAGAAGGATGGCGGTATTGCGAGTACGTTTGAAAAGATCTGTTCACCGGATTCGATTGAGAGTTGAGAATCAGAAACGAAAGAGAATACGCGCAGGATAGGGATTTAAATAGATTTAAACAAAAGTAATCGGACGGTGTTCACGGTGAATCATTAATGGTACCGATTTCTATTTTCCCTCGATGTTTGCCCAGCACCAAGGAGAAAGGAAAACAAGCTGACGATGTACAGGCTACCGGAGAGGTAGTCTATTTCGTGAAAAGGAAGAAAAGACTACTGAGCGAAGTGGAAAGAAGGTTCCCTAAACACGTCTCTTTAAATTTGTTTCCGAGGCAACATAAAAAATTGATTTCAATTCGTGTTGTTGCGCTGCAAGTACCATCTAGAGGATTCTACAAGAGTGGAACGAAATGTGTATCAAAATTGTAATCGTTCGTTGGGAATGACGAAAAGTAAAAGTTAGTACGCAGAGATGGTAATAAATGAACACGAAAGATCAGAAAGATCGAAATTTTTAACTTCTGTAAAAAATTCTGAAGAATGAAATGAAAATTTGTTTTATTACAGTAGAATGACAATAATAACTTTCTGATGCATCTGGAAATAGGCTTTGAACGATCCCTAAATAAATTTAGTTTCACTCGAATTTTCAAAATACTGTTAAAATATTAACTCATTTTTAAGGAAATGAATCTTCAAAGTGTGATTCAGTTGTCGCGCGACACGTGACAAAATGACGAACGTTTTATCGAGGCGAAACAATCTGAAAGGAGCGTGTGGATTGCTCTGAATGGAACAAGTTTGTATACGTAGAATACGTGGTCTATTCCGCGTGCAAGAAACTATCGATTGGTTTCCATTTTCCGCGAAGGTAGTCACCTATGACCGGTCTATACGATACATACGTTCGTAAGTATATTGTTGGTGAGAGAGGTATAGAAAAATGATTAAACATCGTTGTCTCGATGCTCCAGAAAGCGTCGTATTTGAAAACTGGTTCAAAAGTACGGGGATAGTAGAATGGCGTGCAAAAATGTGTCATGGATAGTGTGTGTGAGATACAAGTCGACAGACTTTTCCGGCGTTTGCAATAAAGCTGCGACACGCAGATGACCGTAAAGCTGAATGAGTATAACGGATTTTCATTGTGTTACACAGATCCGTCCAGAGTCGCTGTGCTTAACGCCATTTATCGAGGATTATTACGTTCTTTACTAGGATAATATATTTCGTACGTTCCTCTCTTTCTCTCTTTCTCGTTTCCTAATTTTTGTCCTGGTAGTTTCACAATCTTTATAATTATATTTAAAATATTATATTTATAATTATATTTAAAAAAAAAGAAAAAAAATTGTTTGAAGGATGCTTGACCGAATTTTGAATGTGTCAAAACCGGCTCAAAATCACTTCAAATTTTTACATTTGTTCTTGCAAGTTGGTCATATTATACATAACATTGATATTATGTGCAACGAGATTTAGAAAACTTGCGTGGAAAAAATCGATGAGAAAATATGTAATAATGAGAGAGGAAACTATAACGGAGACTTGAACTGGCGACCTCAGAGTTACTAATATTACCCTTCTACCGACTCCACTACTTCTCACTTCACTTTACAACTTTTCACAATTCACGAATATACCACAGAGAAGCCTAAATTTGTAAATTACTTTTCTCCTCGCTATTTTTTCTCATTCGTGATTTAATTGACATTTATAAGAAAATATCTATTTTTTTTTTTTTTTAAATTTATTTATTTCGTCTATTACTAAATTTGGTAAATTATTCGACACCACGTAAGGATTCCACTGGCGCAGCAATTTGTACTTCCGTTAATCGGATTCCAACGATTACCTTGAACGTTGTTCGCTGCTTAGTTAGCGAGCATGGTCACACGCTGACGTATATTTATTATTTAACTTATTAGGGTTGCGTGAAAACCATTTGACCATTGCATCAGCTATTAATCTCCCGTTTGTGTTCAATGATAAGAAAATAGTTTGATGATGATTTCATTACATCAATTATTAATTCATTTATTTTATAATTTACAATTTGTACGTCTATAGCACAGCACGATTGGCAAGAGTATTTTCTAAATCAGTAAAAATGCTCGTGTTGGTTTGCTCGAAAAATTACGCATTAATTTTCGCTTTCGAGATTTTTGTAATTCTAGTAGGAAAGACAACAGCGGAACGACCTGATTCCAAGAGGAATTACCCTATGTATCAAAGAAAAACCAGACTAGACTACATGTGTATTTACGGTATGACACTTAATCGAAGTAGTTCATGTATCGACTATGCAGGCTAATATATGATACTGTACAATTGATGTACTTGGACGTATCTTTATTTTTTTGTTTTAATCGAATCCGATGCTCTGGTTTTGATTATTAATATTATATTGCCATTTTGGACGAGTTGATAGTATAAAATTTTATTGCAAAACAAGCACTGTATATACTATTTCCAATCAATGAAATCACCAAAGAATAATTTAAGGAATCGTAACATCATCGTGTACAAGTATTTCCTTCTCTCATTTGTCATTGGTAGCAGAATTTGCACAAACTTGCTACCTATTTAACTTTCTTTTCTATATTTTTCGCCTGAAAATGGTAAAACGAGGTGAAAGTTCCCTCGCGTTTTTGTGTTAAGCACACAAACATCGGTAAGATGACGGAAATTTATGAGACTTTAATATTGAGATACGTAAACAGTCGTCGCACACGAAATAACACAGAAATAACACTGTGGCAATGCTTCAAAGACTCCAATAAAATTTATGATGCACGGCGAGATTTCAGAGAAATACAATAGAGCTGATGCAACGGATATTTAAAAAACGGTGCTACAAGATCGAAAGCATAAATTTAGAAAGACATAAACATCATTTTTTTCTAATTTTACGGAATATCCTAGTGTACTTGGGGAACCACGCAAGAAGTGCACTGATCGTCAAACGGCACACGAGAGCCACCGAACGGAAATCCAATAAAGATGTTAAAAAAAAAAAAACATACGATTAAAAAACTACTAACGAATTTAAGACGTCTTGAATATTTGAAAGAACAAAATTTTCGCTGAACAATATCTAAATTCTCCAAAAATTCTTCAGTAAAATAAAGTGCACGATGACAGCTCAAGAGCATTATCACAATCGTGGAGAATTATTTTACTCTTCAATTGCTACAAACAAATATTCGAATTTCAATAAAAAAAAAAAAAAAAAAAAAGACACATGATCGTATATTTGCAAAATGTTAGAAGAAGACGACGATCATTTCTTGTTCGTGTTGTCAAGAAAACGCTCTCACGCTATGCAATTAGTTGCGACTTGAGGCAGGTCCACGTGCTTTTTGCCAAAGTCATCGCGCGACTTCCGTTCGTTGTGTCCTCGAGAGGATTGGAGGACTCACCTCGAAGACCTCGAGTTCCAGCGTGTCAACCTCGACGCTCATCGTCTATCCTACGCAAACTATAAACCTTGTATAAGGCCAACCTCTTCTTCCTCGTGGCACTTTAGCCGTGCCGACGAGACGATGTCCGCCTCGCCTCTTACATATTTCCACCTGGGGCCCTCCTCTTCTTCGTCCTCGCGAATCATTGCAGGTGCAGGACGGCATTAGCCCGTTAACTCTGTTTTCGTTGAATCTCGATGCAAAATGTACGCGTTCACGCTTCTACTGATCGTTCGGTGGCTGGGTATTTTCTCAAACGACATCATTCTTCCCGGCAATAACGCGTACTGTTTCTATTACTTGTAAAAATCTCACTGTTCCTCGTGAAGAAAAGAAAAAAACAGCGTTTCGACAACTTTGTCGACTGTTTTTTTTTTCTTTTTTCTTTCCTTTTACTCCAACTGCGTTTCTGAGTTTCGACTTTGCGAACTACACGATTCGATATGATCGTGTGTCACGTGCGTCGGCATCAGCGCGATGTCTCCAAGACGAGAACTGGAAACACATTCGGGGTCGTTGAGAAATTTTTTACAGTAAGAAGGCGCGACTTTTCGATATCTGCTGCAGTAGCGGCCGCAGGCTTCCTACCAGGTTTCAAGGGAGGTTTCTGCAAAGAAATCGTTCCTGTCATCTGATCCTGCGTGCATGTGCAAGGATTCGTTTGCCGTTGCACGTTTGTTCGTAAGCTGTCATCAACGCCGAAATGTGGTACACAAGTGGGAAAATTAGAAAATTCGATTTCGAAACGAGTTTCGCACACTGCAAACTGCGATGCGAAACATCGGCCAGAAATACCAAGTTATTCTCGCTGAAAAAATACGTACGTCATGAACACATTGACCTGTGCGAAACGGATTTATTCGCATTTAAAAATAAATCGAAGAAAATAAAGAAAAAAAAGAAATAAAAGCTACACCGTACTAGAATAGTATTACCACTTCAAGTTGCTTCGTACGATATCGGATACGTTTAACACAATGCTCTAACATGAAATTTGATTAACAACTAGCAAACAAGCATCGCAATTATCTCTAGAAGCTGCTTCTCAATTAAATCATTAATGTTATATGCAAAATGAATGTAGACGCTGGCGCGTACACAGACGTGGCGTTGCGTTGGCCTGTGTGCGGTTACGTATAAATTTTGTACTTGTTGCACGACATGCGGGAACACCGCTCAGTTGCATGGGATCGATATTTAATTTATTATCGGGGAATTCCGGAGATCGACATTAAACTGAGAAACCTCGGCGGGCACATTGTTTTCCAATGTAACGCCTAAACGAGACCGCGGCCGATCTAGCCCTGGAATTTTTTATCACTACGATATTAAATTACACATCTACCCCGTGATTTAATTTAAAAATTTAGTTCCAAACTTCGTAACAAAACATTTGAAGAAAGCTAGTCACGAAACTAGTAAGATATTATTAAGAACAAATGAGGCATATCGAAGAAGAAGGAAAAAAAGAAAAAGAGTTTTGCGTGTGGCGAAAACAAAACTTCCGTCTCGTAAGATCTTACGTGCACGTCTGAATCACACAGTCACTCCTCAGTGACATAAAAGGCACGCAGAGCTAGAGGTATACTACAGTAAGTAACGAAACGTGTGCGTATTTCCCGTTCGATAAATACAATTTCTTCCATTGCGAAGGATTCTAATTTAACAATGCCTCCCTGTCTGTCGATCGAGAGAGGGACAAACGAAAATCTTTTAACAGCGATGTTTTCTTCGCCTGTCCTTGATTCCACATACACGGATGATGTCAGCGTATTTGACGAAGCCGCATTGGGCGTCTACGAACGAAAATATCCGGTGTGTACGCCTCCTTAAAATATTAGCGACTCGCCACAGCCCGTGGTCTTGATCTATAGTAGCCCGGTTCGAGATTTCCAGGGAATCCATGACGAAGAAGAGCAAGAAGACCGCTTCTTCGTCAGCCGATCTCCTAAGACGCGAGAGCTACGATAATGGCTCTTACGTAAGACGCCAGTGGCTCTCAGCCCACTGGTTGCCATTCTGTTGACGTTTTCGCGGAAATTGCTTTTATCGTACGTACGAACGGCCTGGTATTTCAACATTATGAATACGTGACGACTATGTCTATGCAAATGTGTATCGAGAAACTATTTTGGTGCGCGCGACGTTGGTGTTACCACCAACAACGATAAATCGGAAGTGAGCGCGTATAATACACTAGAGCGTTCGTAAATCTACTGAACGGTCTCCGGTAGATTTGTGCGGTAACAGAAAATATTCGTCATTTTCTTGTAAACAACTCGATGGACTGTAAATTTAAATTGACAGCAGTTACTTTTTTATAGATCTTTTTTTTTTTTTCTTCTACAAGTGAATATAGCATCTTCTATCACTAGGAATATTAATAGTGTTGCAAATGGCAATTCTGTTACTGTATATTACCATTTAATCAGTTAACTGTGGAATTTAGTTTTAAAAATTCCTCACGGGATTTCGCGTAATCAAGCAATGACGAGTATACACGTCGAACGCAGGGCAAATGCTCCTATTAAAAATTTTACGAGAAAAGTGAAGCGAAACGAGGAAGGATTACACTTTTATTCGATAAAAAATTAATAACTCGTCGTTGAAATGTTTTTGTTATTGTTATTAAAAACTTAAAAATTGTCGGAAAATAATAAAATTCATAAACAAGTAAAATTAAAGAAAAAAAGAAAAAATAATTTTAAGAAATTCAGTTTATTTCAGTATGGTATTTTTACCAATACAAAACAATTCGGGGAATATCAGATGCATTGGGGAAAATAATCAACCCAGTTTGTAAAAAATAATACATTGCACGGAGAATATCCGATATACCAAAGAGAATAATTAAACTGTTTTTTTATAAAATACATAGCAATTCACCAAATGACATTCTTATTACTTCTTATTGAAATTTTGAGTGTTTATAGTAAATGGTAATTTTTTTATTTCACACGACGAACATACACGTCATTCAGCCGAAATAAAATTTTGGATCGACGTGTATACACACAGTCGAACGCAGTCAACTGATTAAAGATCAATAAAAAGCAAAACCACTGTAAATTTTGTTCATTTCACTTTTTTTTTCTATTGAATTATAGCCTATGGGCGAGAAGCAAATATCCAGATGGGTTTAAGCGATAACTGATTAGACGCTAGATCCCTTGTCTAGGTACCTTTCGAAGGTTTTCAACTGGATCAATTATAAGATTTCATAATGTGATTTTATGCCGCGTCATCCCTCTCTACGAACAATCTGCTGATTGCCTTCGAAATTCTTTTCCAATGGCCGGACACGCCCGATATATTTTCGTCTATGTGAAATCAAAATACACGCCCTTGCTCTGCAGTCTTAAATATTGATGCAAAAACGGAACGCAGATACGACGGGGATCCTTTGCTCAAAACAAATTGATCGTTTCACGGACTTTTATCGTCCCTTTTCTTTTCTAACAATAAGTGTACAAGACAGTGTACGAGATGGGTAATCTTTTTTTTTTCTTTCTTGTACTTGTTGCGTGGTAGGCGTTAGCAAGGCAAAACATTTTTAAAACACTCTGATCTATTATTAACGTCGTATGACACGCGAGTGCTGTAATTATAATTTAATAAACGGCGCGATATGTCGGTATATTATGCATCGTTAGCGTACAAGTACCCTAAAAAGTATATTATAAGATGCATCGAATGACTCGTGAAACGGAAATGATCGAAGATTTCTAAACTCTCGAATCTCTGACAGTTAATCCTGCAACCAACCACCGCAACAAACGGCTGCAAACTTGCAACGAGATTCTTTACGATTCGTTTTAGAAGGGGTTCACTTGAAATTTGCCTCTGAAAATACAGCCTCTCGCCGTTCCAATGATAATGGGGAAAAGCTAGGAGAGGATCTCGTTTCCACGCCCTTCTTCTATCACGTTACTTTCACCTCAGAAATAAACTCGGGAGTTCGAGAAGGCTCTCCGCAGATTGTAAATTGGTTCTTGAAAAATGAGAAATCGTGTCGACACCGCGTGTAAACCTATTACGCTAAAAAAAAAAAAAAAGAAAAAGAAAAGAAAGACGATGAGAAGTAACAAGAATTCCCACGATTCTTTTCGTTATCATACACAAATATATATAATTGTCTATATATAATTCTATCTATGTGTATATATAATTGTCTATATGCGTTTATATATGTATACACGTACGAAAAGAGGAATAAAAATTCAATTTATCGTTTCGCTCTATCCATCACAGGGAATCAATAATAACACGTCTTATTTATCAGTTCGATCGCGCAACATAAGACTTTTCCAGCGTGTACGATTGTTATATAATTCACGTTTCATGCTAGCCACACGTAAGATAACGGCGTCAAAGCACATTGCCGAGTAACAGCAAATATCATTTGCAAACTTTTTTCCACCGTGAAAGCGGTCGGTCTTAAATCCGATAGTTGGCACTGATCCAGCTAGTTCGAGTTATCGATATCAACGAGAAATATCCGTTTAATTGCATCTTCGCGGCGGCTGAATACAAAGACTTCGTTTTGCCTTGCCTTGTTCCCTTTCCTCTCGTCTCCTCCTTTTTTGGTTTTACAAATGATCCGAAAGAGAGAAGGAAGAAATTTTCTCTTATCTTGGCTTCTCACTTTTCTTTCTTCGCCGATGAGAGGCGAACGAGAAACGTTAATGAGAACGGGAAGGTAAAGACAGTTTGGAAAGTCTCAAAAAGCGGTAGGCGACGGACATACAAAAGGAGACCGCGATTCCAATGACAAACGCAATGGAGTTACACGCGTTTCCTCTCCGTTGGCGGAGGAATTTCAGCGTGCACGCTGTTACAGGCACCATCACCATGGCATAACGAGTTTAGCGAGTTTTCATGCAAGAAAACGGCAATGAAGACATAGAAGTACAAATGAATCCTCCGCGAATTGCAATCCTTCGAAATTGCATGTACGTACGTATAATCGTTGCGATGTCGTTTACAGTTCGATTCGCGATTACGATTTTCTTCTGGAGATTCGTAGACTGCGGATGTGCATGTTTGTGTATTTATTGGAAATTCGAACATGTGAAAATATACAGATATGCAGCGATATATCCAAGATGAAGTACTACTTATTTGTATAATATTTATTGGGCGAAACAGACGCATCTCTATCTAGATGTCGTAGAAATATTCGATTGCACAATCATCTACAGTTATAGAATTATTTAAATATTGATTGGCTATCGTATATTTAATGGGAAAAGATAAAACGAGAGAAGAGTTATTAAATAAAATATTTCCTTCGTATAATTTAAAAAGCTTTACAATTGATTATATTAATTTATGTAGTGTTATAGCACTCGAGTGTTGAGTTAATTTATTTTCACTCTTTTTTGCACATAGGTACACATATGTGTACGTCCGCCACAGCGTGTGCTGGTTGGCGTTATTCGTACCTAGTTTATTATCGCGCATCTATTCATTTATGGATAAGAGAGGCAAATTAATAATACTGTGCGAAATATTTATTTTACGCGGCGTTTCGTTTCGATATTTCCGGACTATGATAGCTGCGAGTCAGGTTCCCGAGGCTAAACGCTTCGTAATGACTCAATTTCTTGAAATTTCGCGCAGGAAACGCAACTATCAAATAATAGAGAAAATGCGAGATTACAATCTGACCATCTATATTTCTATATTTGTAAATATTAATTTTCAACGTGTAAAATTAAATAAACGTTAATCTAGAAGCGTAGTATCGTTACATTTAACGATAAGTTCAGAATTAAAAATAAGTTAATTTCAATCACTTCTTGTACAATACAATCATATCAACAAAATATTTTTTTCATTAAATATCTGAGTTTAATGCTCGCATATTTTTTTATCGAGGTTATATGTTTCAACACGTCGCGGAGCATAATAAGAAGGTAAGAATATCACCCACAATAATCGTCAGCGACCGCAAGCAAGTCATTTACGGATAGATTTACATTTGCTTAGGAAATTGCTAAATGGGCACCCGTCACTGGCGTCAAAGGTGCTCGAACGATATCCTGAGTCTCTGTTATACCCATTTCATTTCTTTTGTATTACACCATCGATGTAAAATGCTAAAATAGACGGGCAACTAACCTTGTTTTAAAAGAATTTAATAACGCGCGTCTGACCATGTTCCAAATGCACGGCTATAAGACGATAAACAGGCAACCATTCCGAACGAATATCGTTTGTCTATGGAAAAGTAGTTTCTATTAACATGTACGTGAGAAACGACGACGACATACACGTGGACAAAAAANAAAAAAAAAAAAAAAAAAAAAAAAAAAAAAAAAAGAAAGAATTGTATCCATCAACGTGCGTGACAATTCTAACTATTCTAATTTAGGTAGTTGATACCTCGCAGCCGCTTAAACGTCTAACCAAGCAACGTTTCAACAACGTTAAACGTACGTATTTATCAGACGACTGACATCGTTGATCATTCTGACCGATTACCGGCACTACATCTGATATGGAAAATGTCATCGACATATAACGTTTGATCGTATCGATTCCTCGTTGTTTCGTTGATTCCCGTGCTATATAAACTGGTAATTGGATCGAAACATCCAGCGAACAAACGAGTTTCCTAATTTTCGACGTTAATGGATGATCACGATTTTCTTTCTTTTTGTTGTTGTTTTCTACAGCAACGTACGACCTTCGTTTTCTTTCTTAAGGGAATCAGGTTACCTCGTTGTTTTCGCAGTCAGTGCAAGGGTACGGGCGGTCGAAGCGCCCGCGTCGACGAGGGCGACGTCGTTATAACGATCGTCGTTGACGAGAGAACATATCGAGGCCGTTTGACGTGAAATTCTCTAGTGGAGGAAAAAACCGTTCGCTTCTCGACTCACGTACCGGGGAGGACGAACAAAAAGAAAGGAAAAAAAAAAAAAAAAAGAAAAGAAAGAGAATGTGCGAAACGTTAATCGCCACGGTTAATCAATAGTTCGATGAAGATGCTCCCTTCGAGATACGTATACGAGGGAACTTAACCACATAGAAATCCACAGCGGAATGTCGCGCAATGTCGACGATGACAGCAACGAATAGATCGAGATACAACACACGTTTTTTGCGATTTCTACGATAAATCGATCAATTGGTGCGTGTTGGGCGGGCACCACCGTCTATCGTTTCGACGATTGTCGAACATATCGGGCACCACCGGCATCCTATGTTTTCTGCCACTGTCAGCACTACCGTCACCATAACCATTATCTCTGCCTGACACCTCTTCAACGTGGAATTACGTGCCACCGTTTGCGGATCGCCGTATCACGGATTTACAGGAACCGGGATTCACACGTCGTGTAACACACCGCGTAATATATATCTCACGTTTCTCACGCACTGCACGAGGGTGCCGTTGCACGACGGCGTGCTTTGCACTTCGAACAGTACAACGAAGACCCGAGTCGTCGAACGAGGTATTGTTCGATGATCGTCGAGAGACTTCAAGGCGTCGTCCCCTGACGGCGCCACGAGTCACCTCGCCGGTGGTGCCGTGAATACTTCAAGGCAACAACCACCACGTTCGTCGTTGTCGGGAAACATCCACCGTTCGGGGGTAAAGAGGATTGCTACGTTAGCGATTGCCAAAACAATTAAACCCTTCGAATTGTAACCCTTTCGAGATTTAAGCGCGAAACACACTACGGAAATACGGAAATACTTCGCGCGACACGATGTTTTTACATATCGCGATATTGGTTAGATGTTGAATATGATTTGTAGAGGGAGTTGTCAATCATTTAAACATTCGCGAAACGGTATTGTAACAAAGGCGACGATACATCACGCGCTGCATCTTCCGATTACTTTTTACATACGATATTACGCAAAAGTCTTTTATTCCTTTCCTTCCGGATAATTTAAGACTTCTCGCACGGCGTTGCACGTTCTCGTACCAGAACACCGTTTCAAATGAGAATCATCGAGCAAATGTTTTTTACACACCTTTATTGCGATCAACCTGTACCGTGGATTACGTGTCTTCTATTTAGAGAGATATACATTAATCAATTAATTAAGGCACTACTTACCTTGCATAGGACGCGTGGCAGCGCTGCGCGACATTGTTTGCGTGATCTATTAGGCTGCAGCTCGGAGTTAGGCGCTTTTGGACGGAGTCTGTAGATATGTTTCGCGCGAGATGCGACGCCTGTTAAAAGTACTTCCACGGCTTGGAGACGCTTCGCGGCTGGTCTTGTAAAAAATGCATCAAATCTACGGCACGATCGCCGTGGTGTAAAAACGGGGGTAAAAAACGACCTCCTGCTGCCTTCGTTTGGCGATTGCGATATCGTTACGGGCGTTGTCGCCTTCTCTCCCGTCCTCGGAGCTGTTGTTTCCGAACCGACGGTGGTAATGGTCCTTGCTAATGGACACCGGAAACGAGTGTGGTTCCTCGACGTTAGAACTGATGCTACACCGAGTGGCCGGATGTTCGACTTTCGTGGCCGAACAGGTTGATGATTGTTGTTATTATCGAGGACGTGGAGATACAGAATCGGCAATTGTTTCAATTTACGGCGAAAAAGACGAGAGAAATTGAGGCACGTGTAAGATAATGATGACGCGACGTGGGCGGTTGTTTCCGTCGTACGACGTGCATCAAGTGTCGGATGTCTCGATATTCGACGAGAACGTTGAGGACGTTGATGCAGGGCAGAGAAGAACGGCGCCCTTACGTTCAGGTCGGATATTCTGCGGCTAAATAATGGTGACAGGATATCCGGTGTGGGGGGTACGGGGGGTCCTTTGGGGGTGGCGTCCATGTGGGGTGGATGGTCACCTCCTTTCTTTCCTCTCTCCTGCGACCCACCTCCTCCTCCAGGACCTCCTCGTCAGGGTGCCCCAGCTTTCGGTGTCCGAGAACACCCTTCCTGCTCGTCGCCAAGTTTCACTTACCCCCTCCCACACTGAACTTTGCGGACACACGCTGCAACAGAAGAATGGTAAATCCTCATTTAGAAATGAAACATCAACGACGTGTGTACATTACTAATGACTGGACTTTATATTTAAATTGTCAATTTCATAAGTATTATTTTCATGAAAGTACGGAAAGTATAAAATAATATAATAAAAGGAGTGTATAATTTACATCACCTCCATCATCGTCAGTAACACTTTTAAGCAACCACGCAATTCGTGTAGCATGTGGGATATGAAAGCCGAAGGGCAATGGGTCAGAACTACACACGACTGATCCATAAGAACCAACGAGCTTAGCGGTCAATCGAAGCAAAGTCGCCATGCCTGCAATCTTATTCTTTTATGCATGTATGTATCCTTGGATTCTAATAGTAAAGTTTCTCACATCTGACGTGTTCGTACGTACGTAAAAAGGAGTTGCATTAATAACGCAGGAAACTTTTTGTCGCCATATAAGTTTATTACGAATTGCGACGAAATACGATACTGCTATGACGATTTCACAGTCGATATTATTTTCTTTTGAATAATATCTGACGAAGTTCAATCCTCGAAGCCGTTTATTATTTTCGCGTGATAATAAATTAAATATGTGATCACAAATCAACAGTTACGAACCAAATGCTATTCATTAAGAGTTATTTACACCTGAAGAAAGTATTGAATTTATATGAAAAAAATTACATGTGAATATTTGATAGTAAGAAGTTCCTACTGTGTTAAATTCTTCACGGTTTCATTCTTCTTCCGTTTCGCTCGATTGTTTTAACTGATATCGAACCGAACAACGCGTACTCGTCTGTTTGAAAATCATTCCGCCTCCTATAAATATCATAGGTCATCAGTGATTCATTGGAACACCAGTTGATTGGAATCAATGCGCTGAATGGTACAATAATCCGCCGAATTATCTTTATAATCTTTAGTTATTTATTACAACATATCCGAATTTAAAAGCACTATAGAAAGTGTAATATGTACGTATAGACACATACATATGAAACGAAGATTGATGAATCAATCAACTCATAGACTCTAGCCTCGAATGTGTTGAATTATTCCTAATGTTATACTATCAATTTTTTTAAATTCGAAAAGAATACGCCCGAAAAATGTTTTGAAAATATTATAGAAAGTACAAAGCAAAAGTACAAAAAAAATTTTTTTTTGAAGTTTATCTTTCAAAGGTGAAAGGTTTCGTAAAGGTTAATCAATTGGGTGTCAAAGCATGAATTTCAAACAAAAAGTTACTCCAAAATATATTTATATTATAATCTTTATTATTTTGATCATAAAACAGATACGATCTACGTTTAACATTAGATCCAAGTTATTTTCAATTGGTACCATGGAAAAACGGAAAATTTGGACCAAGATTGCCACTCTTGAAACGTTGGTCACTTTCAATACCGCTTTTTAACCATGTTGCGCTGGCAACTAATTGTGGACCATAACGAGTGACCAAACCGTATACAATAATTCGTCGCTTTCTTTTTGAACTCGTCGCGACGACATCACTGGATAGAAATTACTGAATATAATAAATTTACTGTTTGCTCTGCCTATTTTGTTTTACTTAAATATAGTTGAAACTACGAAAATATTACAATTTTGGAATAGAAAATTCTCGACGTGCGTGGCACGTCGTTCTAGTGCAAGAGGTTAAGGGAGTAATTCCAATATTAGAAGCATTATATTGTCACGACGACAGGAGTAGAACGTCAGCGGATCGCACCTATCGCTATCAACAAAAGCGGAATCGTGCCACTAACGACACTGACCGTCGACCGACCTACATGGAAAGTTCGTCATTGACGGGCGTTTTTCATTCTCACGGTACTCGTGACCCCGATAAAGCGGTACTGTAGGAGCAATCCTACGGGCTCGCAACCCTATCGACGTGGTGAGAGCGGTGTTAATCGATCTTTAACTGCGAGCCTTTGTTACGGCCACTTCCGAAATTCTACAGCGCTCGACAAATATTTACACGAAAAATCCATACTTTTGTTATCTACTATTTTCTTCCTTTTTTCGTTTCTTTACTTTCTAAAAGATTTTCGGGATAAATCTACGAAATTGTACGACTTTCTTCTATATCATCAGAGTAAATAAATTACTATTATACCATTATTTGAAATAATAATAGAAATTTACACGTTACAAAAGTATGAATAGTAAAAATGTATCGAAAAAAAAAAAAAAATAAAAAAAAAAGATCTATTTTGCGAAGATTAACTATGAATTTGAGACGTTATCCAGTCTTTTTTTTTTTTTTTTTGAAAATAGTTAAAAATCTCGAAGCTTGGAAAGAGAGGAAAGCTTCCTTCGAGAAACGTCGAATCTGCTCGCTATTTTGGGGATGTTCGTGTTACAGGTTGTTTGCGATGACGTTCGAAGGTTTCAGCTATCGGCATGAATGAGAGTTTAACGTATGCTTTATCCTCCCTGAGATGTTAATTGAGTTAACGCCGTATACGCTGTGTGCGGAATGTAATCTGCAACTTGAGGCTTTGCGAGCGTTGCACATGATTTCAGCATGCTCGAATAACATACTCGAAACAAGAGGAATTTGTTTCTTTCCACGACTTTCGACTTTCGTAACTACGTGCGAATATTAATCGGTGAATATTTTTTTCAAGCACGAATTAATAGAGAAACTGGCAGCTAAAATAAAAAAGAAAAGAAGAAAACAGGAAACGAGAAGACACCACCTTCGATCAGTTGCATTAAACATTAAAACGAGCATGTATACCCTCGAAGTTGGATACGAAATTATTCCTTTAACTCTCTCTGCCTTTAAATCCGTTTGTATTAAAACAAATAACAGGGCTGTAGGTGACCACGTATTATTAGTAGCGGTCGTAAGAAATTATAGAGTTGGATCAATACCGAAAGCTCTTTCCACCGGTGGTCAAATATTTGAAATCACATGTACGAATCGATCTGCTGCTTTGCAGGAATAAATCGAGAAGTCGATGGGATTTATAAGTGGTCAAAATGTTATCAACGAGTATGTCGATTTATGACGATTCCCACGAATGTAGTTTATGGCAGTAAACGGAGAAGACGCGATGAAATCGATGCAATAATGAGGTTAACGATACGCGTGTATGAGCAATCGAGAGAAGAAGGGTAGGCTCGATAGAAAAGAGCAAATAATTTCAGATTAATGAACACACAGACGAGAAAGTTTGACGTAGGATTAGTTGAAAGACACAAAGAAAGGAGTGGATATTCACGCAAGGTCAAAAAATTGGAATTATTGTTTGAGAAAACAACAATATTTATCGATTGGTTATTTGAGTCATTTTGATACGACTGATCTCCAGTTAATTTCTGATACCGTTCGTAATTATTCGGATCGACCTGAAAGAAATCGACGGATCGATTGTTCCAATGCCTTAGATTTAAAATTCTGTTGACTCTTGGAATGAGAAATCATCTACAAGCTTTGATAAACGGTTGAAACAGCTACAAATACTATATCAAATGATTCAGAAGCTTACAACAATAGCAATCAAAGCGATGGTTACATTACATTACATTAAGCAGTGATCGAGTAATGTTATCCATAACGATGCGCAATCAGCAATTGTATGACAAACTAATTCATACGATAAACTGCACCGAGAGTATGATATAAACAAAGAGTGCATAGTTTCATATCAAACGTCGATGATATGTGAAAAAAATACACAACGAGATACGAAGGTCGCCATGGGGTTAATTTAGATATAAAACAGTTGCATACACATTATATTCTTTCAGTTGATGCTCAATGAAATCAATTTAATTTCAAATCACTTAACTCTGATCAAATCTGAATCAGGAATTCTATTTCAGTGATTATTTCTGTATTTCAATTATACATAGTAACTTTGTTCCAGTCATCGTAATTTAAAAAGGAAAAAATATTCGATATCGACTTTATGCGTATAGTAGACTGAAGACAGACTGTACATTTTAATAAAAGATTTGATTAACGAATTACGACAACAATAATCTGATTAAGCTGATAATCGTGTAAAGGTTTAAAATAGGGGTCTTCGTTTCACTTCCATTTAAACGTGTATCAGTGTTAATTTTTAGTACACGAGTACTCGTGTAGTGTAATATAATTAGCAAGGTGAGACACACGTGTATACGACAGTTTGTATCGTAACGATCTCTTGCGGTTCACACCTAGAGAAGTTCCAGAAACAGAATAACCCATTTTCTAACAATTTCACTGTAAAAGTTCCACCAGTCTCGAATTAATTTCGTCGTTGACAGAAATGAATCCTATCTATACCGACTGTAACACTATGTACATACCGTGCAAGCTCCTCAGCTGACACACGTGATCCATCATCTCTCGCGTATTATCAATCGTACGCCACGCCACAAACGTACAAACGTACGCTTTCGGCCATAAAACGAAACAGAGAAACGAGAACGTAACGAACGTTCCCCCTTCGAATTTCTCGCCACTCGTAGACGAGTAAAACGCACCACGCGGTGTTTGTCGAGCGGAGATCGCTCAAATAAATTGGAGAGGGAGCGGAAAATTGTATTATTCACACGTATCGCCACGACAAATGTTTTACGACGATAAGGAGCATAGGTATCTCACACGTCGCTGCAAATATCATAACGCGAAACACCGTGGGTTATAAAACAGTCGAGATAACGATTTACGCGTTAATACTCCATAAATGCTCAGTCATCGTTTGCCGTTTCGGGAAGCGTGGCCGGCAACTCACACCGACCTCGAACAATTCACCTTTCACCTCTCTCGTGAACGACGCATCGTCGGATCTGTCACCACGGCCCGATACTTTTTTTTTTTCTCAACGTTTCCCAACCTTCCACTAACTTCAAACTTCGACAATAAGACCAGGTATTGTACAGGTGTTATCTGTCGTCGAGAGGTTTTTCGAACGTGACGCTCCATGCAAACATCATTTTAGATAACTTCGTGGATGCTGATACGTGACAAATTGCTAGGCCTTGATGTTGCGAAACGTTACTGAAATATATAGAATAGATGTCAACAGAAATTAATAACTTTGATTGTTACTAAAAAAAAAAAAAACTGGCCTATGATTTATGAGAAAAGAGAGAAATTTTATTTGTCGAATAATAGTATCAAAATGCACTCGTACGTAGAAACGTAAGCACCACCTGTTTGCTGACACGTGCGCACGACGTCCCAGGTTTTCGCTTCTAATTTCAGAGATTTGTGTATAGTCACATGCGAGAGATCCACTGGAAACTTTATGTCCCAACGATCTAGGATAACGATAGAATTTTAAATACTTACACATGTACAAAAGCTAACAGTGCCTTGTGTTAACTCTGATAACAAAGTTTGTAAATTCTTCATTGAATCCTATCGAGCCTATCATGAAAATCAATATACCTTTATTCGTCGTCATTGTAGCAAGAAACATCTATGATAATTATAAATTAATTTTAATAACAATTAATTAATATATTAAACATAAATAATATATTAATTAATATAATAATTATAAATACAAATAATTTTTCTTTCAAGCTAAAAACCACAAAGAGAAAAAAAAATGAAAATTTCCACAACTGGAACGACTGTTCCACGTGAGAATTGGAACCGTAAAACCGATGAACTAACAATATCTGGCCAGTACTCACAATCGGCTGTAACATCATCAAGCGGTCGTATAAATGACTAATACGGCCAGAACGACCATGATCCCGAGTTAATATTGCCCGATTGTGCAACTATCGACTCGGAAATAGTTTTTGGTTGGAAGACGCACGGTCTCGGGCTAATCCTCGCGCTCGGCTCCGAACTTCTTGACATCTTTCGTTTTCCAATCTTTTCACGCGGCTGTTCCGAAAATAAAGGTCGAACAGGGTTGAATTGGAAACAAGATACGAGTACAGGATATTTTCGTAGGTCGTTCAAGACGTTTGTTTCGAAACGAGGGTTGGGAAAAAAAGAAGGATAGGTCTCTAGAAACGTTTGAAAATCCAAGACGAAGAGACAACGGAAGAAGCAACCAACGAATGTACAAGGAAACGGAAAGAACAGTACGAGCGAAAAAAAACGACATTTCGGAAGATGTCTCGATCGCCAGTTAGAACATGGTGATTCACTTCCATCCGCATGACGGATGAATAACCATTCTAAACTTATCGTCTAATGAAATGCTATTTTCTGACCACGAGTTAATGCGAACAATGCGTTTCGTTCAAGAGATAAGCGCTCCGTTTCATTTGAAGTCTGCCTTTTTTTTTTTTTTTCTTTTTAATCTAACGATTAGACACGTAGTTGAAATACGTAGGTGATTAGACATTGCCTCTGTTCCTGATAAGTGGGCCAGCAGTTATCTGTGCAAATTCATATTTTCATAAATTCGCGTACGCGACGAGTATTTGGCTACGTGCGAGTTGAATTTTATCAGTTATCGGTGCAAATTGCGCAATTTTTGCGGAAGTTTTTATCACGAACTTCTGGCTCTCTTGAAATATCTTGCGGTTAGCTTCTTTAGTCCTGCGTTTCCTTTCTGACACCACACACTGTCGGAAGAATACATTATTCAGATAATAGTATCTTCGGATGCGAATCTACCGTTCAAATAATAGAATTCGAGCAGCTCTCCGTAACTACACTATTTAAATGGTAGAACCGAAGTAGATTCCCGCATTCAAATATTGGAATATCTGAATTGTGAAGCGTGTCCTGATACTGGCAGATTCAACGTTATACGTTCGCCCGATGTGAGATTACAATATACGGATTGGAAGTTCGAGAAAGGGGACTGAAACGGGGCACCGAACGAAAATACGCTCGTCCCAACGTCTAACGTTTTACAAGTTTCATTGCGAAACGAAAGTATCCCCTCCTCCCCTTCCCGCATGACGGAAGCTCATTTGGAAAACACAGCCAGTACGCACGATGCATACATTCATGATATCACGATTGGCCGATTGCCAATCGTATCTACACACCGACTTCTACTTCTACGCGAATTTATTCCGTCTTTCGACCATGATCCACGATCTGGCACCGTCGTATTTTTGATCGGTTCGCGTCTCTTGCAGTATTCGATCAAATTCGCAACTCTCGAGCCGACGAATGATCGAGAGGTGATTACTTACAATTACGAATTCTTGTATTACGAATTCATGTGTACGCTAAAACACACGCCGAACGAAACGCCTCGTCTTCGTACAACATCTACCACTAAGTTAAATACAATAAGTCCCAGTTTATTTTCATTTGTTTCGACACTCGATCGCGTTTGGTCTAATTGAAGAGGCGTGATTAATAAATCGTCGAATTGTTACCGATTACGATATCCGAGAAGGAACGAAAAATAAATGTCTTGCGCTGGCAACTGATTGCGGACCGTAACGAGTGACCAAATCCCTATACAACAATTACTCGCATTCTTTTTGAACTCGTCGGTATATCACTAGATGGAAATTATTGAGAAGTAATAAATTTATTATGCTTTGCCTGAGTTGTACTTAAATATACTTCAAACTGAGGAAATATTGCAATTTTGGGATAAAAAAATTCTCATTCCAGCGCAAGAGATTAAACCACTTGCGCTGGCAACTGATTGCGGACCGTAACGAGTGACCAAACCCCTATACAACAATTCCTCGCATTCTTTTTGAACTCGTCGGTATATCACTAGATGGAAATTATTGAGAAGTAATAAATTTATTATGCTTTGCCTGGGTTATATTTAAATATACTTAAAACTATTGAGAAAATATTGCGATTTTGGGAAAAAAAATTCTCGACATGCGTGGCACGCCGTTTCAGCCAATGTGGTGGCTTCAAGCACGAGACCGAGTCTAGTGTTGGAGGCAGCGACGTGTTAACGTGTTTGTCTTCATCGATCGCGCGCGTTACAATGAACTCTTTTTTAGTTCCTCTCAACCCCCCCTCTCGCAGATATTGATCCTGACAAATTGTCGAGATTATCGTACGCGATGATTCGCGAACGTCGCCGCAAATTTGTTTAATTTGCCAGAAGAAACTGGGACGTTAGAAGAAGTTGCACGATCGATGGGAATATTAATTAATTGCACGTATGTCCTGCTTCTGACTTTTTTTTTTTTTTCTTTAGAATATAACTGACTTTACTGCTTGTTGTAAAGTGTATGTTAGACCAAAGTCATAAGTCTGTACAGGATGAATAGAAAACAGGGTTCTAGATAGTACTTGCCGAAACATGAAAAAAAAAATTCCTGATAAACAAGGGTCGAAAAATTAATAGTTTCAATGTTATAAATTTTTTCGTTTCGGTTTGAAGAAATGAATTTCTTCGCTTCGAGAGCTGTCATATTGTACGTAAATGATGGTTCACCTTATAATTTCTGATTACAGTACGTTTTCTATGTGCCCTCCTTCCATTTCTTCATACACGTTTGACACCTTCGCGTTAAAGAATTACGTACTCTTTCAACGATTCTCCGGATGTATTCTTTTTCACAAGCATTTCAATCGAAACAAAAATATCGTTTATAACCTTTAAATTATTAATTTTTAATTTTAACACGACTCATGTTTATTTTTTTTTTTTTTTCATGTTTCGGCGAGTGCCATCTATCCCAAAAGTTGCGAACCCTTTTTTCCGATTCACCCTGTACACAAGACCACGGAATTTAACAAGCACGCGACAATTTTCAAACTAGCCAATACAAGCACAAATTGACGAAATACCTTGAAGAGCACCAGAAGTCATGTCTTCGCATAGTAGAAGTCTCATCTGACGTTTCCAAGAAACCAAAGAATGAACAGTTGCGAGTCTATTCATCGACGACTACCAGAGGGGCCGTGTCCAATCTGCACAATGAAAAGCATCGTTCGACGAGGGAATATTTCTTCTATACACCGTACAAAAATGCTTCTCTGCCGAGTCACCGATCACCGTCTCGTATTTTCAACTTCACCGTTCCATATTTCCTCGCCCGATGTGAAAAATATCCGTAAGGCTTCGATCCGAAGTATCGACGTATACGTGTTTTATAATTGTAGCAGCCGATTGATCCCCAGTGGGTCAAGGTTGCGAGAAATCCTTCGCAGCGATCGACCACCTTCGCCTAGGTGGATTCAAGGTGTCGAACGGTAACGAAATCGCGACTTTCGAAAGACCACGTTGCCCCAGACGACAACAATCACTTTCCAACGTTCCTCTTCAACCGCGTTCAAGGAACCTCGATGCTTTTCGACGCTTCGAAAAGCGCGCGAAGTTGGACGAACGTTTAAAAAAAAAAAAAAAAAGAAAAAAAGAAATAACTCTACAGGTCGACGTTGCGTTCAATTTTTCAACCGGTGCACGATCACTCGATTCATCTATTTACCCTCCAATTGGAAAACCGGGGTACCAGTTATTTTATCACCGGGTCCACTCGTTGCTTTTCACTGGATCACGAGGTTCGTCGAATTCGCGAAAGTTTCGACTTCGCGGGACCAAGGAGAGGTCGGTTAGAAAAGGCACAGGCACTCTACGTCACTGTATCGTAACTCGATTGTTTGTTCTTCGAAAAAAAAAAAAAAAAAAAAATCTTTTTCTCCTTTTCAGACAACCAACGTGACAAGCGGAATGTAAAAAGAGAGGCACTTCGAATGTAAAATCGAGGTTTCAAACCGGCAACTTTCGTTCGTCGATGACACACACCGATCGAGAAGAAAAAAAAAAAAAAAACGAAGGGAGAGATGGATCGAGATGGATGGAAAAAAGAAGTGGAGGAGGAATGGGGAACTCGCCGTTTCGCGGACCACGCGAGAGAAAAGAAAAGAAAAAAAAGAGAAGCGTTTCAGCGTGTTCACCGATCGGAAAGGCCGTCCGGTCGGAAGCTTACGCCATTCTCGACTGACGAGTAAAACGGCGAGGCGGCATTTCTCCATCGGTGCGCGCCTCGATCGAGGAAAAAGCTTCGCTAGGTGGGGGGAACCACGCCGGTCTACCTACTAGGAAAAACACGAAAGTTCACGCGGCACGCAACCGTTTTTTAATTGGAACATCTATACTTTTTTCCCCCTTTCCGTCTTTTTTTTATATTTTTATTTTTTTTAAAGAAAATATTATACCTTAGAGAAAAATATCCTGCAATTCTACGTAAGGCACGAAGCACGTATTTAACTATTACTCTGCCTCTTTCCTTTTTTTTTTTTTAATGAAAAGATAAATGAAAAGTTTGAGAATCTTAAAGATGAAAGTTCGAGAATCTCAAGTTTTTTTTTTGAGAGAAAAATAATTTATATGAAAATTTGCAGATGCTCTCAATGCTCGTAAATGAATATTATATATTTTCGTCGACATCTTTTTGTTGCAAACAAGAATGAATTTGTAGCTGAACATCACCTTTTATTTATTTTCTGCTCACGGAGAATGTATATTTAGATTTTTGTATTTTGGGTTCAAGCACAAGCAAATAACAAACCTTTTGAAAAATATTGTCTTTGGACATTCCGATGTATACAAAGTTTGAGATGCATACACATAATTATAGAATCGGCACAGAGTTAGTTTATCTAAAAAGATAAACCGAGTGACTATTTCGAAAATTGAGTGACTCGTTTAACTAGTTGCAAGAATGTTCTTCGATACAGAAATAATAATCGCACAAAATCGAAAGTTCAAATAAACTCACCATATTTTTCAACGAGTTTCATTCGAAATCACGAAAGAAAAAACGCAAAGGATATTAACTCGAACTCGTTTCATCGGTTAGTTATCGATTTGAATTTAAAAACCACTTCGCGTGAAAGAAAGGCAAGGATACTGATATAATCACGCGCGACCTCGACAATCAAAAGAGAGCGAAAATGTTTCGATTATGTTCTCTCCGTGGGACTCCAGAAGCGTAATCGCAGCTACTTTCAGCCGAGCTCTCAGTCAGCGACCTAATGAGGATGTGCTTCCGCGAAGAACCTGTGTTATTCTCGCACATTATGCAGATTATATTTTGCAAATATCCTATGACAATCAATTCATGAAACTGTGAAATTACCATCTATCATTTCTTGTTACGTGCATTTTTGTCTTTCCTCTGAACGAAGAAATTATATTTAAACCAAAATGTGCGTAGAGCGACAAAATGTTTGAACAATTTTTATATACCTCTATAGATAATTTTTTGAAGATATGAATATTTAATATTTTCTAAAGACATAAATTTTTTTAAAGATATAAATTTTAATATTTTCTAAAGACATAAATTTTTTAAAGATATAAATTTTAATATTTTCTAAAGACATAAATTTTTTAAAGATATAAATTTTAATATTTTCTAAAGATATAAATTTTATTTTCTAAAGACATAAATTTTTTAAAGATATAAATTTTAATATTTTCTAAAGATATAAATTTTAATATTTTCTAAAGATATAAATTTTAATATTTTCTAAAGACATAAATTTTTTAAAGATATAAATTTTAATATTTTCTAAAGATATAAATTTTATTTTCTAAAGACATAAATTTTTTAAAGATATAAATTTTAATATTTTCTAAAGATATAAATTTTAATATTTTCTAAAGATATAAATTTTAATATTTTCTAAAGACATAAATTTTTTAAAGATATAAATTTTAATATTTTCTAAAGATATAAATTTTATTTTCTAAAGACATAAATTTTTTAAAGATATAAATTTTAATATTTTCTAAAGATATAAATTTTAATATTTTCTAAAGATATAAATTTTAATATTTTCTAAAGACATAAATTTTTTAAAGATATAAATTTTAATATTTTCTAAAGATATAAATTTTTTAACTCGTCGATTAGTAAGATTAAAAGATTATCGCGGAGAACTTTTTTTACACTTACAAATAGAAAGAGATAAATCTGTTAACTTGTCGGAAGATCTCTGTAAGTATCCAAATATATTTTAAATTAAATATAAATTAAATATAAATAATAAAACATAAATATATATTAAATAACTTTGTGACGCTTCGTATTAACTGAACATTGTATATTCACCTGAAAGATACATTTGCACCGCGAATGTATGAAATTAGGACACGCACCTAGCTCGAAACCACCTTCCAAATAGGTAACAATAGGGTTCGTAATGCTCGCGAGACTATCTCAGGGCTGTTAGCAGCGGCACTGACATTTCGCAAATGCCGCGTTACGACATTTTCCACTATTTTTGTCCTAAATCATTACGATATGTCACGTGTCGATAAATATTCGCCGGTGAATATTTCGTATCAGTGATACGAAACGAGCCGTGCGTCGCGCGATGATCACGAGAGGAAATAAGAAATGTCACGTCTCGTCACTCTAGACCGGCGAGTTAAACGAAAGTTCCTCAAATTTACGAATATTACCGACATATTTTCCGTTTCAAACGCCCGTAAATTGCGACATAAAAAATAGATTTCATTCAGAAAAATTTTGGGAATTCGTTTTGTACAATTTCTGTCTTATCGGTATCAAGTTTCAAGCTAGATTGCGGACAATGAACAGTTCCGGCCGATAAAAACTGGCGGTTCTCTTGTTTCCGTTCTGGAGCACAAATTTCAAAATTCTCTTCGTGAAAAATTTACTTCATATTTGTTTCATATGCGTATCCTTGATAAATTATCAATCGTATCGTGTATTATAATAAATTATTAATTGTGCCGTATCTTAATATAAATTATTAATGAACTAAATTGTTACGACACGGCAATTACGTATTCGACGACTCATAACAATTTCAGCAGAACGAATTGAAGAATAAAGCGTCGAATAGTCGCTTGGTGATATGATAATACATCGTGTAACGTGACGCATGGTTTTCAACGCGAATGTTAAAAACTCAGAAAGTGGAAGAACGTCGAGAATTGTACCGATGATACCGTGCCGATCTGACTTCGACCTATAAGTAGCGTGGAGCAGATCGGTGGCTTGCTGTCTTTGAACGTTAATGAAAGTCAGCTGATTCACAAGATAGAGTTGTTTCACAGTTAGATTGGTAGGATTGAGAAATGTAAGTTGTAAAAGGAAGATTGATAAAATTTGAGTGAGTTTGATAGTCGAACCTTGACCTGTTGTACGATGGGTTACTCCGAAACTTGTGTGTGTGCTGCGCGATTGTCAAAACTTGACTGCCTTTTTTTCTTGTACGTTGGTCTTATATAGCTGGATTCTATGGTTTAGAGAGATATGTTAGTTGCTTCCAGATGTGAGTGAGGTCAGTCCCAGAACGTAGTATTTGCACTTCCTAACGGTCCCAGGATGTGTCCCTCGCAATATGGATTTATGAGTTTGGGTTAAACTTTGCCTTAAAATTGAGTGTCGAGCATGACGAACCTTGGAATTGGTAGTCCGGTGTGACTACAATAGAAGATGCAAGGTAACGAAGGACATAAAATATGGTCACGGGAGATCCCTGCCGTCGAGAAATTAGAAATTGTAAAATTGCTTTCCCTGGCTCGATGAGTTTGTCCTTCGCGGTGCGAACCCAGCCTCCTTTGTGTTCGGCAAGGCCGAACAAGAATGTTTGGCCCATAATTGCAATATTTTCTCAGTTTTAAGTATAGTGAAATATAATACAGGCAAAACAAATAATAAATTTGTTGCTTTTCAGTAATTTCTGTCGAATGATATACCGAATGAATTCAAAAAGAAGACGAATTATTGTATACGGTTTTGGTCACTCGTTATGGTCCGCGAACCAGTTACCAGCGCAAGAAGTTAAGACCTCGTGTCCTCTCTTCTGTTACACCCTCGGTACGCGATGTCCATAAAAAGATGGGCAGAAGATTGCTGACATGAGTTTTCCCGATGTCAGTGAGAAATATTACACCAAATATTGCAGCGTTAGGTGACCGATGCGATAATCGATCGCTTGACCGTTCTGAAAAATTCTATTTTTTATTGTGGCTATACACGTCGGCTGTTTGTTCTGCTCTGGAACAAACACATTTATTCTTTGTCCAATCTTAATGCGTTATTATTAAAAGAAAAGTTAATTATTAACTTCTGTAATATTAATATCAATTTTATTCTTTTATTAATATTAATTCTTATTGATGTCAATATCAATTCTGATTCTTTTATTACTATTAAGCATTCGCAATATTAATGAAAGAATAATTTCTCTCGCAAGTTAAAAACATTCAATGACTTCAAAGAATCAATGATTTTATCCTATTGGATCTTCTAATTTTTATAGAATCAAAAATCCATTCTTGTTATTGACTTCTAATAAAAAAAAAAAAAAAAAAGACAATTCCCCCTCATAATCTAGGGAACAACTGAACAACCAGAAACGGTTTAATGAATTTTGCAAGTTGACTACGTGTTTCTAAAATATTCTAATTCTTGGAAAAATCGAGGGTTGTACGTGCTACTACGATGTCGATACTCAAGTGAGCAGCAACGATGTTGCACGATTTAATCATAAGTGACCTGAGTAAGGCTAACTTCGTTGGTTATCTGTCTAACACGTGTGTTTTCACAAAAGATTTCGTTGTTGTAAATCACCGCGGAGAAGAATCTTCTAGAAGAAAAAAGAGAGAGAGAGAGAGAGAGAGTAACGAGAAACGTAAATAGGTGAACTATGAGTCGAAGGTAACTATATGAATATGACCACAACACTATAAATTTATTATTTTGACGTCAAGCAACTCTTTTATATATCTTTGAGACTTTGTAATTTGTCCCCCTTATCTTTACGTTCCTCAGTTTCGAATTGTGTTGAGTAACGTAGCAATTAGGAGCACGATAATTAATACCGTTTTAAAATAAAATATGTTTCGTAAAGAAATGTTGCTTGTGGGTACCTATTAATGAAACGTTTCACAGTCAGGCTGCTAAATTTTCGTATTCTATATCTCATACGATAACATTCATTCATGATTTTGACAGAGCACAAATTAAAATGGAATAATATTCTAAAATCGAATAATTCAATACAGATAACTTGCGCGATTCGTACCAATAATCCTAATTATTAATATTCGATATTGATCAAA